ATTCTTTTTGTGATTGAGTTTTGTTTTATTTTCTTCACAAATTCCTTTTTATAGATCACCTCCTCACTTTCATAAGACGGAGTATTAGGGCCATGCTACAAGGCTGCACTTTAATTATTATTTTGAGATTAAAGTCATAATATTACGAGAATAAAGTTGTAACATTGCGAGAATGAATTCGTAACAATACGAGAATAAAGTCGTCGTTTTACAAGAATAAATTCATAGTATTACAAGAATAAAGTCATAATTTTAGGAGAATAAATTCGTAACATTACGAGAATAAAGTCGTAATATTACAAAAATGAAGTCATCATACAACAACCCGTTTCATAAAGAAAGTTTCGAGCTCCGATCAGCATATGATGACCAACTAGCTCCACCAATCAACAACCTGAGTCCACTTTGACCTGCTGCCCAATTTGATGCTTCTGTGCTAAAATATTTCCTCATTTGTCAAACCAATGCCAAAGTATAACTTGACATGAAGCTCGACATTCCTCATTTTAGGGAAGAAAGTGCTTCTTGTAGGTGTTGTCATCAAATACAACTTTATTCTTGCAATGTTACGACTTTATTCTCGTAATAGAAGAAAAAAAATCTCTAGCCTGACCCTAATACTCCGTCGTACTTTTGGAGGCGGGCTTTAGATGTTAGCAACAGCATTTTTATTGGTTATTTTTAACCAGCTTCCAAAAGTCTCAGTTTAACAACAGAAAATGATGAATAAATGTTTTTTTTTTTTGTTGACTGATGGACTCACCTGGTTCTGTTTGCTGTCTCAGATCGTCTTCGATAACAAAGCTCACAGCGGCGAAGTCAAGATCTTCCTGCAGAACCAGGCCTCCATAAAGGAATGTAAAGACCCAAACGTATCTGGACACGGTGAGTCACTGTAGGCTATTCTTGCACTGACCTGTCCCTTTTTTATTTTATTGAGCAAATCAGCTTTAATTAAATTATTTCTCTCCTCCTCCATTAGCGGAGAGCTACGCCAGAGAGTTCTTTGATGTGGTGGTGGCGATCGTCTGCCTGCTGTCGCTGCTGCTCTGCGGCCGCTCCATCCTACGAGGAATCCTCCTTCAACACGTAGGAAACAAAAACAGCTTCTTTATTTTCCTTTTATCTGACATCAGAAAATTTTATTTCAATAGAAGCAATCAAAGCGGATTGAACTACACGGAACACGTGGATGTAAATGGTTGTTGTTGTGGACGCGCTGTCCTCAGGCCATGAGTCCTGATCTTGTTCCTTCTTCTCATCCAGGAATTTGTGCAGTTTTTCAAACACAAACTGAACCGCACCGTCAGCTGGGGGGACAGAATGGAGTTCATCAACGGCTGGTACATCCTGCTCATCATCAGCGACGTGTTCACCATCGTCGGCAGCTTCATAAAAATCGGGATAGAGTCCAAGGTAGCTACTGTGAATTATCTAGGGGATTCCTTTACAGTCAGGCAGCGTCTGGAAAAGTATTCAAGCATTTTTATCTGTATAAGTCTGAAAATTAGATGATGGGGAAAAGAGTCTTCTTTGCCCACTTCTACTCTGACTGATTTGTTTTCTGTGATCTCTTGTGATGCAGACTTTGTCATCGTACGACACGTGCGGCATCCTGCTGGGAACGTCCACTCTGCTGGTGTGGGTGGGAGTCATCCGCTACTTCAGCTTCTTTCAGAAATACAATGTAATCGGACATTTTGATCTTTTATATCAATCCTTTTCTATGTTTATGGATGTTTATTCAATCTGGTCTCTCTTCCCATTTTGCCTCAGATCCTGATTGTGACTCTAAGAGCGGCTTTTCCCAGCGTTATCCGCTTCTGCTGCTGCGTGGCTGTTATTTATTTGGGATACTGCTTCTGTGGATGGATTGTCCTGGGACCCTACCATACTAAGGTGCTGAACTCTCTCTTGATCCAGGATAATATCAAAACATTTTAGTTATCTTCTCCTTCATTTGGCTCTGAGAAAAGATTTTACAAACCTTTGATGTCAACATAGTTTGGTTAAACATCACCTTCTGCTTTTAGAAACTTGAGGCTTGCTGACTATAGTCCAAGAATGGATCATTTTCTTGAATGCTTTTGGAAAGTAATGGTGCATACTCCATCCTTTAGAACAGGGCCTTCAAACATGGGGGTGGGACAAATGTTCCCTCTAATTTTCATATGTCTGATCATTATACGTAAAAGCGCCTGACAACCACTGTTAGCAACATCAGATGCGCACGCTGAGGCCATACCAATATTAAACTTGTTATAAACCGGAGATCAGAGCAAGCTACATTGTTTATTCAAATAATAAAGGATTACAGCAGCAATTTATATTAGTTTACTTTTAACTTAACAGATTTGGTCTATTAAAAAAAAAGTTGTTTGTTAGATGTGCTATATACATTTATAAAGTAAATGTATTCATTTTTTTATTTAAAATGATAGTGATATTTTAAACTGCGATTAAAGGGTGGATTTTTGTGACAGAACGGCTGATTTTCAGTAAAGCCATCAGGCAGCTTTTATCACTGCAATCATAAAGAAGAGATCTAGTAAGACCCTAAAATGAAATCAAAATAAGGTGAACGCGTTTCTTATTCATTTGTTTTTTCAATACATTTAAATTAGTATGGCAAGTACCGTAATTTTCGTAATATAAGCCGCGACTTTTTCCCCATTTTTCGACCTTGTGGCTTATATAACAATGCAGCTTATCTATGGACTTTTACAACTAACGGCCACTAGGGTAATACCTAAATCTATGGATTATACCATCCACCATGTTGGCGTCACTTTTGCTTCAACACACGGTACGGTAGTACGGTAGCCGCGCGCGGGAATGCGGAGGTCCTCCAGAAACGAGACAGAGCGACAGCGAGAAAGATGGACATTGCGAACACAAGACAGTTTGTATTAAACATAAAAAACCTACGGCTTATAGTCCGGTGCGGCTTGTATATGTACAAATCATGCAATTTAGCTTCTGCGGCTTACGGTATATTCAGGTGCGGCTAATAGTCCAAAAATTACGGTAAAAATAACAGTTCTCCATTTCTCTGTATTGGGCGGGAGTTTTTCTCTTATTTTCATTTCATTGTTGTTTTTAAGTTGAAAAAACGATTGATACACGGATTAAAAATGATACTTAAAAAATATTTTTGGTCAAACTGATATATATTTCATGTTTTTTTTTTTTTGTGCTGTATAGAATGGGCGAGCTGTTGGCGATGGTGCAGGCTTAGAGGAAACATTGGATGGGAACGCTTAGTTATAAAATACACAGTCATGTAATCTTTTCAATTACATGACTGTAATTATGAATAGATTAAATGTTTTTGTTTTAAATTAATTACTTAATGTAACATATAGTAATAAATAAATATATAGTTATATAAATATATAGTTATACATAAATATAAGGTGAAGTACCAGTAGTAAGGAGCAGCAAAAAACAAACTCTCCAACTCAGATCTGAAATGATGCCTGACAGGGCGAACGCCACATTTAGATGACAAAACACTTCTGAGAAACAGGTCTTCTACTCCAAGTATTCACAGGTGCAAAAAGCAGTTTGTTTCCAAAACAAACGAAGCAAGGACCTACTGAGATTACTGAGAACATTACAAGATGACCTTTAAGAGAACAGCCTGTTTCCAGACAACACAAAAAGGAACAATGGCATCCAGCTCTCTCCCAGACGGCCTCATAACAAACCAGCTGCTAAGCCAAGAAAATTACTAGTAACCAATGATGCTGTGAATGAGATGAAATGCTTCTGCAACAAGGAAAACACAGAAATAGTCAATGATGGAGGATCACAAAGTTCTTCTTCATTATTTCCATTAAGAGTCCATGCTGATCGATGGAAGACGTGGCTTAAATTTCTTGTTCCTCTCTCGTGTCCTTGCTCCTGCTCTGCATCCCTGGTGCCTCCTTTTCAACTCAGCTGTTACTTGATGTATTATTTCAGCTTTAGCGATGTTAAACAGCTGCTCCCGGGTGTAAAAAAATCAACTTTAATCAATCAAAATCAATTTCTTTATAACTTGCTATTGTTGCTAGGGTTACGCATCATAAAAAGTCTAGAAAAAGGAAAAAAGATCAATAAAAATCCTTCCATTTAAAAAAACAAAAACAAACTCGGATTCACAGACTGAGAAATTTTCAGAAAAAAGTCAGGGTCATGCCAGCAGAGTTAGTCCAAGCTGCAGCCACCTTAAGCAGAACAGTTCTAGAAAGTTATGCATTGAGGATGTGGCACTTCTGGCTTTACATACATGTAATTGTTCCTGTGTTTAAAACAGATAATCCTGCTTTGCACTGCACCTGCCTGATCCTATTGGTGGACACCCCTGGCAATCACTTCAGTCGAATTAGAAACAGCGCAGCATAAATTTCTCCATTGTGAGATCAATAAAGTTCAATTATTATTATTACTATTATTAAAAATCCATATTGGACTGATTTTAATTATAACTTAATCTAGCAAAGATGCAAAGCAGATCTCTGACAGAAACTGCTGGGGTTTTTTGTGCCATCATTTTGCCTTAAAAACACTGATGATGGGCTGTCTGTAGGTGGGAGTGTTCCTCAGGTGAGAGTCGCATTACTTTTTAACTTCTGTGGCTTTAATATCAACCTTGAATGCAGTATTTCTTTACAAACATTTTTCACTTTTTATAAAGGATTTTTAAACGTGTAAATTTGACCTAAAATCACCCCTTTGACAAGAAAAAAAAAAAAAAAACCTAATTCTGTTTACAGCAATAGGGAGAAAGTTTCACTGTTCCTAACATCATGTCACATGTGCTCTTGCCTTTGTGTTTTAGAGTTCATGCTTCCTAATTTCATGTTTACGGCTCTTAAAGGGCCGAGGGTCGTCAGAGAAAAAGTGTCTACGAAAAGTATGAGAAGAAAAGAAAGGCCTTAGAAGAGGCAGATATATCCCAGAATGCTTTGCATGGAGAGCTCTGCTCACAAAGCATTATGGGATTTGCTGTCACCTATTAATCTTAATTATTTTTATTTCTAAATATTTAGCTGTTTGCAGCAGCTATTTCAGTTTGATATGTCTAATAACAGATGGACACAATAATATTTCAGTATTAAATTGAGGTTTATTGGACTAACAGAAAATGTGCTGTACGCATTGAAACAAATATTTTTTTTTTGCAAAGAATGGTCAAAACTCCCTTCTTATTAAAAGCTACAGAAAGCAACTAGAGGTTGTTTTTGCAAAAGGAGGATCTACTAAATATTAATGTCTCTTTTCTGCTGAGGTGCCCATATTAGTGCCTGTCAAATTTTGTTTTAATGCGTACAGCACATTTTCTGTTAGTCCAATAAACCTCAATTCAATACCGTAATACTACTGTGTCCATCTGTTATTAGATATATCAAACTGAAATAGCTGTTGCACAGATGTTGCAACACCCAAATATTTTAAGATAAAAATAATTAAGATTAATAGGGGTGCCCAAACTTTTTCATATGACTGTATGAGATCAGCACCGTTTTAACAGAGCCTGCATGAGGAGAAATGGGATCATGCACGCCTTTAATAGGCGTTCCCTCGTGGGAGCGGGTACAGGGTTGTGCATGTGCATTTTTATTTCTTTTAAAAAAATTGCAAAAATCCTCCTCTACACCTTTAAATACAATGAGTTTCCCCCTGTAACACTGATGTTATTTGTACAGTTTCGCTCCCTGTCCAGGGTGTCAGAGTGTCTGTTTTCTCTCATCAACGGAGACGACATGTTTGTGACGTTTGCTGAGATGGAGCAAAGCAGCACGCTGGTGTGGATCTTCAGCCAGGTCTACCTTTACACCTTCATCTCGCTGTTCATCTACATGGTGCTCTCCCTCTTCATCGCTCTGATCACCGGAGCTTACGACACCATCACGGTACGCTGCCGGCCTTCGCTTAGCTGCAGCTCCCGCCACACCTATGATGATAGAATGATAGAAATAGAATTTTGATTTGAGGATTCATTTGATTCATTGAATTGTCTTTCCTTAAGTTTTTGGTTTTGTTTTTTTTCCCCACAGGCCCAAACCAGGGAGCATGTTCCCCAGACATGTCTACATGCATTCATAGCACAGTGCACAGACACGCCCAGTTCTGGCAAATTCCGTGGGCCTGAGGGGTCATCATGCTCCTTCCTCTGCTGCTGTGAATGGTGAGGAGGAGAAAGGCGGTAATCTGCTTCAGAAAGAAGAAGACTTTTAAAATGTTCTGCCTTTATCTTCAAAGACCCACATTTCCAACCCACCGACAGCTGCACTGCTTTTCTCCAGACGCTCAGCGGGGATGTTAAAGGCTGGCAGCGTGAACCTGCTGACCTCGGAGCATTTTCGTCCCCCTGGTGCCCGGGGTTTCAGTTTTGCATTGAAATCTGTTGTGGAACAGCAGATTGCTCTGCCTCTGCTTTTGCACTGTATGAATAATTTATTGCCTCTGGCTCAGATTTTTCAGGCAGAGATGACCACTCCTCTGATGCTGGGAAACAAAAATTCATCATTATGGACTGAAAATGGGATCCCTCAATTAGAGGTGGGGCATTGTTTTGTTGTTGTTGTTGTTGTTTTATTTAATTTAAGAAAAAAAAATGTAGAGGAGTTATTGTTTTGTCAGTGACCTAGCATAAGGGAAAGGGTTTTATTATTTTGGGCCTGTAGAAATTTTTAAAAACCCATTGTTATTTTACAAGACTGAGTCTGACTTAAGAAGCACTTGTTATTTTGATGCTCAAAATTATTTAATTCAAGAATTTTCTTCTACCTTATTTTAATTTTTTATTGTTCCTGAGGGCTAGATGACAGAAGAACATAAAACAAGCCCTGGATTTAGCTCTTTTTTTAAATAATAACCTGCACCTATAAATTCCTATTTCAATCAGTCTAAATTTCTGGCTAAATGAATATTTCTTTTTCTATTCCTAATTATTATCCAGGTATAAGAGGCCTTTTGTAGTATTTGAGAGAGAATACACGTACTTTAAGGTGTAGTCTTGCTAATTATATTACTAAAGCACGTAATACACATAAGCCTACATTTAGAGATGACCATTTAGAGACTTCTGTTGTCTTTAATTAGTTGACTTGTTAAAAGAATTAAGAAAAAAAAAAAAAACAACAAACTTTTATTTAAAAACCCTGAGTGTTCTGCATTCACCTTGTTTTGTCCATTAGATATTAGGTGAAGCCAGCAACATGGGATCTGTTGTTATTAATCCTGCATTAATTCTTAGCCACTCCTGTAGATGTTTCATTTTACCTGCTGTAAATACCTCCTATTTGAAGTAATTTTATACAATCATCCTATAGTAAAATGAAAGGAAACATGTATATAACAATCCTAAAAAGAAAACTAGTTTTTATTTTATCATGCATCATTATATGTCATATTTCCTCTGATTCAACTCTCTGTATTTTGCGAAATAGCCCAAATAAATGGCTGTTGTTCAATAGTTCAAAAATTAAAATACATATGCTACATCCTTTTTCAGTATTTTTTTTATCTTTTCTTTTTAAATTGACTAAAGTTCTTCTCTAAAGATATGTAAGGTTGGTTCGTAGACAAAAACTGGTTTGGTTACTATTGAAAGAATGGAAATAAATGTAAAGAAATAAAAAAAATGTAAAGAAGAACAAAAGCATGAAGGAATTGTTGAAGGTAGAGAAGAACCCGGAGCGCATCAATGTACAGAGTAATACATTACCTAGCTAAGCTAGGATATATTTCGTATCAGGGAAATGGTTGCCTTTTATTGGTTGCTAAATAAAACATTTAAATGTTTTACAATAGCTGTAAACTGACTGAATCACCAGGACACAGAGTTATCATTGAATGATATTAGTATCCATTAAAATATATTTTAAGCTAGCTAGCTATCTCACCGCATTAGCTTTGGCTAACGTTAGCATGTGTTAATTCAAAGAAACATTGGAATCAATTGATTTGATTTATTTCTTCTTGTTTATTTGCACATTTTGTTTTTATGTTTTGTTTTCTTGTTTTTCATAAAAAGGACAGGTTAATCTCTTAACTCCATTTTGGCCAAATCTCTGATTCTAATTGATTTATTTGACATTTCTGATCAGGAAGACTTTAAGCAACCTGCAATCTTCTGTGTCTCTTTAAAGTAACCCCACTAAAATTTATCCTTTATTCTATCTATGTGCTTTGAGCATCATTATTTTAAGGTTGTTTTTTTGTTGTTGTTTTTTTCTGGATCTGGCTATCTCACTTTACATCAAAGCACAGAACTGTTGGGAACACCTCAAAGTTACTCCTTCTGCAGCGTTTGTATATAGCTGAGAACACCACACAGTAAAGTTCTGCATAGTTTATGTTTAATTCAAAGACTGATAGAAATACCAAACCTGGGAATTTCCTTTGTGCACATTTTCTCTCACTAAACTCTGTATTCATCAAATTTGTAATGTTGCCATGTTGGGATTTAACGTACGCAGCTTGAATTATTTGGTCTACTTCATATTTAATTTCAAACTTGTGAAATGTCTTTATTCTGTCTGTATATGAGTAATAAAAACTCAACTAACCTAAAATCCTTTTTGGCCTTTTGAAAAAAAGCAAAAAATGATATATGGAAACTTTAGCTCATGTATTATTTTTTTTGTACGTTTTAAATGCATTGACACTTTAAACATCAACAATAGGGGATTTATTTGCCTTAGTGCTTTTTGTAATTTACTTGCACAGAAATATTGTTGCTTAAAGCTTTGATTAATTTGAAAGTGATGCATCAGACTAGTGTACATCAGAGATTTGATGTGGTTTGATGAAGAAAGCCACTGCACTCCATGTTTTTTGCATGCACTTTTACTATTAGGTTTTGTTTTGTTTATATTCTTTACAATTCGGTTAAAATGGAAGCAATTATTGTGGCGTGTTAATAGCTTTTAACTTATTTTTCTGTACAGAGGCTGTCATATGAGTGCATAATTCAGTCAAATAAACTATAAAGAGAAACTGGATGTTGTTTTATTTACCATAACAAAGTTTTAGCCTTTAATTGGGCGAGTTTCAAAACTTAAGATCTCGAGGATTTTTGTTTTTAAAGCTTTTATATCTTCAAATTTCTCTCAGATTCAGGCTGCTCATGAGAATGATCAAGATTTATAGATGTCTTTTAATGGTAGTATGATATATTTATGGTATAATATTTTAATGGTGTAAAAATGTATTCATATATTCAATATATATTCATTTAAAATAAGAAAACAAAGACTGCAGTCTCTTATTTCAAGTGCATTATATCCAATTATCTTATTTTAAGTGTAAAAATGCTAATTCCATTGGCAGATCTTATTTTCCTACTCAGATTTAAGGTAAATACAGTTCTTTTAATAAATTTTCAATCATTTTCAGAATGTTTATGCAGTGTGGGTTTAAGGTGATAGCCTCCGATTAGGAGAGCCCTCATTAATGATGTTGCTTTAGGCTGGTCAAGTTGTATAGATGTCTTGAATAATATAATTTATTTATGGTATAATATAATTTTTGAATGGTATAAAAATATATTCATATATTCAATATGCTTTGTTTCGCCGTTTACTGCTGGAGAATGAGGGAGAACACGAAGATAAGTTATCTCACTGCTGGATTTTCTTTTTATAGTTGAAAAATATAGCGGGACAAATGTTTTCTTCTTTTGGGGCCCCCTCAGTCAAGGGCCCTAAGCAATTTTAGAAAAAGGAATTTTGTGTATTTAGGATTCTGACTTTGAGGGCTTTTCTCTTTTTGTTAGCAGTGTGGAAAGGTGAAAACAGAGCTTTAAGTCTGAAATAGAAAAATATGTAAAAAGATTTAAAGCTAAAGCATGATTTGAAATTGATCAAATTATGTACGCTTCACTGATTTGGGCATCAGTGGTAAACATCAAAAGAAGCCTAAGAAAGGACTAATGATAGCTATAAGCCTCCACCTTCATTATGAATCAACAAGATTTAATTGGCTTTTAATTGAGTGAGCAGAAGGAAGTCAGGAGAAATGTTCTCCCAGAGCAGTAGCTAGGAGACCAAATAAACCCAGTCTGTTTTTCCAGTCTGCCTGTCGTTCCCATTAGTGGCTTATGAATGCTGGTGACCCAAACTGCAATTTAAAACCAAAATCCACGCAGGATTTGTTTTCTTAGGATCATTGTTACACTGATGCACACAGGCGTTTGGACATTCATGTCAAGAATATATTTAACCCTTTATTACCATTTTTGATCACTTGCATACCCCTTACAAATTGAGTCTCCCCGTTCCTCAGTGAGGTCTAGATGCACAAGATCTATATCCAGCCATTCAGAAAAGATCCTGCTACATGGCAATATGTCTTATTTTGGCATTTGACCAATTAGATGAACCCTTGAATGAAATATCAGCTACTGTAAATTAAGTTAAAAAAAAAAAAGTTAACGAGTTAAGAAAAAAAGGTAGATGTCTAATTGAAAAGTTAACAAGTCAAGTTAAAAAATTAATAAGCCTAGTTAACAATTATATTTAGGTTTATAAACTAAACAATGTTAGTGCCAGTATCAGCATTAATGCCTAAGGTTTAAGGTCTAAGGTTCTGCTGTACCAAAAAAGTTGGTTTCTTTTACTCTCAGTGTTTTTCATATATTTCTTATAGAAGCTCTTTTTTTTTCTTAATATATTCAGGCAAGTTGGCGTTTCTTGTTATTACATTGACAATAATATTTGCCATCGAAATATTCATATTTTTTTAATGTTACAAAGGAAACAAGGTCTCGTCCTTGATTCCAATAACACTATTGGTTTGAAATGTTGATTTTCAAAGTGCCCTATAAAAGGTTAAGGACAGTTTCTATTTATATTAGTGAGTCACTCAGAGATCGTACAGGTTTCAGCGTTTTACTCATTAGGGTTTAACGGCATGACACTAAAAAGAGGAGGGAAGTAAAAGCAGTAAGAAACACTCACATTGTAATCTCAGTTAAATGCTGTCACTCATTCGGCTCAGACACAAAGAAAATATTACAATCAAAGCCACTTATTGAGGCAAACCATGAAGAAGAGAAGCAGTTATAACTTCTTACAATCTGTGGGCATCAGCAGATGCTGTATATAAAAGGTAAAAACTGATTTGCTGAGCTGATAAACGTCATTCTTACAAACACTGAAAGTCCCACCATTACCTGGCGTACTCTCTGATCAGATATCAGTATTAGCCACTGAGATTTCACCATTTCTTCTTTTAAGTTCCCTAATTTTCTAAAAGCGTCACAATCCTCCAATCTGTCCTTCCTCTACTTTTGTACCACAGAGCTGAACCATGTTCTCTGCTCTGCACATCTTTGTGACAAACGTGCTCTCTATATCAATTTATGCTCCACTTACAACCAGCTAGACATCTGTTCAAAATATTCCCCGTTATAAGGCCTTACTGAACAAGAAGGTAATCCATTACCTGTCTGCAGCCACAGAGAGTCACAGGCCTAAAGGTGGGACCACAGAGAAGCTGGTTTCTGCTATAGGAACCTTTTAAAGGAACTAGAGGAGCTTTTGGAGGCCATTAACGGCCCCGTGTTTCAGCTGCACTTAACTAAAGCAACACACAAGGGCAGGAAGTAGATTCAGAAAAAAATCCTTGAAGCGATGCATTACTTTTTCATCCAGCAGACAAATTTGGATGATGTTTTATAGAAGACCTTAAAATGTTAGAATTTGGACACATCCATTTGAAAAAGTGCACAATATTTGTTAACATCCATCAAGGGTAAAGGAGTTATCAGGATTGGGTTAAGGTTAATGGACCCAAATGCAGAGGCAGGGAGGCAGAGGTGAGTTTTTGTAGATTCAATGCAAGGTAAACAAATAACTGAGGCAGGAATCCAAAAATCCAACAAGAAAAAAGTTTAACCAGAATCCATGGGGACGTCAGGGGAAAAAAATCAATCTTGACGAGGTAAGACACTGTAAGACAGTGAAGGTCGAAGTTTGACGAGG